GGTCCCCTCCTATGTGAAACCACCCGAGTCATTTTCACCAAGCATGCAACCACTCTCTTTGGCCCCTAACAACTTGGGACAGGTGTTGAGCATCCAGGCAACTCCTCTAAGCCATCCCAACCATTAGATTTATCTTCTTTACGTGGAATAGGGTAGACCCATTAAAACTCACATTTTAACTTCATTCACTCTATAATCCCTCTCCATTTGCTCAGAGATTTCATTTGAGCTTCCTAGAGCTTCTTCGCCAACTCCCCACCATTTCCTGACCCTTTAAAGCTTTCCACTTGCAAGAAGAGGAGGTGGTCGAAGCCTATTCCATTCCAACTATTTGAGCTTCTCATCCATACTTCCTCCAAGCTTACATTCTTTACCAAAGTTGTTCCAAATTCCTCAAGGAGTAAAACTACCTTTTAAACTCCCTCCAAGATTTCTTATGTAGAGGTAAATCATAAAATCTAAGCATTTACTAAGGATTCTAAATAGGTGCTAGAATAACTACATAAAAATGCGTAAAAACTCTTCCACACTCTTCCATTCTCGTATTATATCTCTGTTTAAAATTTCAAGTGATTTTGGCCATTAAAATTTGAGTTTGGGAGCTTCTTCCATACTAGGCTTTTGGTTGGCTGGAGAAAGAAAATGAGTTATGAAATGCCGAACTTTTGTGCGCGGTTCAAACTTCCCTTAATTCCCTCTATTTATTTTGCCTAAATCGCGCCTTGACCCAAACTATGTCCAATATGGAAAAGTGAATGCTCGATTGTTTATGTGTGGCAATAGCCCACCACGTACTTCAAACCGTGCGCACCTCAACCCGCCTCATTTCCTCGGATACACCATAATGCCTTCCAATCATTGGGCATGATTGTGCCACTACGCAATCATGCAAATGATTGGCCTGTCGCTACCTTCCTATGCAGCCCTCTTTCCTGCTGTCACCTATAAAGTTGTCGCTGCCAAGTGCAATTAGGCCCAAATCAAATTTTAAATGGTTTAAATGCATCAAGACTTTAGAAATTCATAACTAATTAAATACTTAATCAAATTAAACAAATAAATATTCATTCTAATCTGAATAAAAACTCCTATCATTTAAAAATAAAATTGGACAAAATTTTTAAATTTACAAAGAGTAATTGCATTTACAATTTTTTGTTGATTTTCTTTAAATTCTCATTGGATATATGCCCACTTAACCTCAAACTTCACTAAGATGAATTATTACATGTTACATCTAGTAATTTTATCAAGGGCATTTGAGTCCAATTTTATGCATAGTTAAATTTCTAAAAACCTAGGTCATGATTTGACCAAAATTTTTGAAAATTCACTATATATTCTCTATTCATCCTATTATTGCATGTTCAGCTTTATGGATTCATGGAGATGAGCCCTTTGATTTAAAAATAATTGTGAAATTAGATCATGTATAATTTGAGGGTAACTAGCTTTTGATTGCCTACTAATTTTTGTTTATTTCTCTCTAAATATGCATGATATTAAGCTCAAATTTGGAAAATTATTTGAGGATGTTCACAAAATTCACCAATCTTCTTGGCCCAAATTGATACATATCTTTTATGAAGTTGAACTTTGAAGTCTATAAGTCATTATGTAACATGTCATTTTGATAATTCATTACATTATATTCATAGATCATTAGCATACCAAATTGATATTGTTGATTGACATTGTTGAGAGGTGATTTGCAAGCCCATTTGAATGAGAAATTATTATGTGCTGATGCTGAATGTAGTTTACCATCCAGAGATCAATCATAATGCGCCACGTGAGCAATACTGAGCTGGGTACCGAGCAGTACCAAGCCGCGGTACCGAGTAGTATTGAGCTAGGTACTAAGCAAGGGTTGACGTGGCGCTTTCTGGTTGGTCTCTAGACGGCATTCAATGTCTGTATAGAATAATTTCACCATTTGAACAGTAAAAAAATTAGGCTAAATAATCAAGGAATTTTTCTAGAGAATTTAGGATAATTCTAATAAATTCTAAACACATCCATATGGACTAAATGTGTCTCACTGAAGAATCAGCCTTGGAGATTTCAAAGCCCCAGCTTTTGATTAGCATATTTGTCCACTTTTTTGCCTCCTTGAAAGCTAAGAAATCCGTACACATGAACAGAATAAGTTGAATTTTGAATGAATTTTGAAATATAGTGTTTAGTCATCCCCTTCATTCTGTAGATCCATATGATGTAGGGTTGTTCTCTTACCCCGATTTGGTTCCCTCTCAGAGCCACTTCACACCATACACTAACATCGCCTTCACACTTGAGTTCGTACCTTCTTCCTTGGACGAGCTTCTAATCATGCAACTTGATGTCAGTCTTTAGGAGCATCAACATCTACGTACCAGGACACTACGTGCACCGCATCATTTCACTTCAGGCACTAATGTGATACCACATCGATATAAGAGGAGGTATTAGTGATTTGTACCATGTATCTTTTGGTTATTTTTTTATGTTGACAATGTACTCCTTTGACATTGACAGTGTAGTGCATATTTATTATACTTTGATGTCATTTTGATATCAAACAAATTCATACAAAAGTATTTTGAAGGTGATAAATTTAAAAAACTAACAGCATTCATAAATTCTACCAAATAAAGTTAAATAACACCAAACTAACATTCACTGAAGAACAATTACAAATAATATTAGAACCTAACATAACAAACAAGATCATAATCTTACGTATTCATAACTAGGTAAATCAGGATAGATTTTGGATAAAATAGGTACATCAACATAATCTTACATATTCCTAAGTAGGTATCACATAAGAGCTTGGAGTTGTGTTTGAGTTGGACAATATTTTTGAATTTGTCCTCAAAACTTGTTGAATGTATTGTCAATATCCTCCACTTAGAAATTCCTTCTTTTTTTCTTGTTCAACACATCCCATTAGCTTCTTGTAAGAATCTAAAAGTCATTCATCATGTACATGACATCATTTATGGTATAGAATATAATGATTTATATCAAGCATCGACCTTCCAAAGCCCTCCTCAACTATACCTTCTATGCCACCATCGATTTCACAATAAGAAAATATAGTGAAACCAAGTGCCCGTCATGTTCACTGAATCTCTATTGTAGATATATCCAACCCACGACTCCGAGTTCATAACCGACCCTATATACCTTTATTTTCATAATTTTTTCAGGGGTGTGCCATAATAAGCAATCATCTTCTTCCCCCTAGGAATGCATAATACACCTAAAATTTTTATTAGATGTTGCCTTCACTTCAAGGCTCTCATCAGTAGGGAACACCAAACTTTCATTCAACCGGCTGCTTCCCTCTTGAATCATTTGCTTTATCGGTGTTCTTCAAATCTTATCCATTACAGAGGAGTTCATTGCTAAGTAATGTATATGAAGTGGTAGAAATACTTAAGGTTTCATGGAATAGATCATACTCATCCAAAAAACCTGTGCCACAACAACTTATATAACATGAGAATAATAGATGAATGATGTGAATTGTAAGAATAAAATCATTTGATGAGATTTATTTCCTATCTACATGATATGACAATACACATCTGCATATATTTATTGATAATACATAATGATTTGATAAAACAACTTTAAAGCTCATAAACTATGACAACTCCTTACAGCTTTACACCTCATAAATTGTGACTACTCATTACAACTTCAAAGTTCAAGACACATTAAATTTACAATCATCTATAATACAATTATAAAATCATTCATCATCAACAGTTTAAAGCACAATAGCTATAAAATCATTTCTCATGCACAATTATATAAATTTAATTATTCTTGCTTACATTTAAATATATATATATATATTTATATTTAAGTTGCACGTGCTTTGGCAAGTTTTAATTTTTTTTCTTATGATTAATACGTTAATTAATTATTAAAGAAGAACTCGAAGAATGAAGCTAGGCGAGAAGAAACAATTAGAGAGTTTTTTTTTTGGATGATTATATATATATATCCTCCAAAATTTATCTTGATCGAGTACGAATCTTGAGGCAAAAATCAAGTTAGAGACTTCAAAAATTAAATCCGGGATCATCTGAACTCCGATTTCAGCAAACTTATAT